CCATCTAGCCCACTGACGAGGTGAGGGATTTTTTCCTCCATGCTAGAAAATTAAAAGCAACACGGAACGCCTTGTGGCATGTTCTTCTGCATGAGTCTCAGTGTGTACTGGGGAAGTGAATCCCTAAACCTACTGAAGCCTAGAAAATAATCGCTACCTCCCTTCCAAACTCCCAGGGAGAAGTTTTAGTTGGGTGCCCCTGTAGGAGCCGCCGCGCACCATCATTTTGACAGTGCCCCTGCCTCAGCTGGCAGCTTTTTGTCAGCGAAGTGCAGTGAGGGGTACACGGTTTAGGGTTAGGGTTTAGGGTTAGGGTTTAGGGTTAGGGTTTGGGGTTTAAGGTTTCAGGTTAGGGTTTGGGGTTTCAGGGTGTAGGGTTTCAGTGTTTAGGGTTTAGGGTTTGGGGTTTCAGGGTTTCAGGGTTTAGGGTTTGAGGAGTCTGAGGCTTCTTCCGCTTTGGTGAGGCCCGGAGGGGACCTGTTGTTGTGACCTGTGCAACAAAGGCGTCTCATGTGCAAACATGTAGTTCGTACTTTGGTAGAGCCCTCAACGATTGTGACAGTCACAACGGCAGAGTACGTAGTAGTAGCGAGAGTATCGGCTTTTTGGTAGATGTTTATGGTGCCTGTGCAACACTGTTACCCACTGCATTTTCGATGTAGCATGTGCAAGTGGCCTCAGGTCACTTGACTAGGGTTTCCCAACATGTTGGTTTCCTTTCTGGGGGGACTTGCAACAAGGGTGCTACTAAGTGCATGTTTCTCAAAAGTCTTTCATTGGCACCGCTGGCAAAACATGGACTGCATGGTTCTTTGCCCAGGTGCAGACAGACATAAACGGACATGACAAGCAAAGGGAATAACTTAGGTTGGGCCCCCACCCACTAATAGTGACCCCAAAAAGTAATGGTAATTAGATTAGGGTCCTTCTATATTCCTAATATACCACTATTAGTGGGTGGGGGCCCAACCCAAGGAATAACGCAGTGAGCCGAAGCTGTTTGGCTTAGGCTATTGATGGTTTCAAGCTGCTGCCATAGGGGCCTAAGTTTTAGTCTATGCGGTTCTCCATTACTAAGGACATTCTCCCTTTATTTAGGCCCCTACATTATGCCATGTGATTGGGACTGTGGTTTCGTGAAGCTCAGCAGATGTTGCCTTGCACTTAGCCTTCTGGCTCGCTTTGTGTTTGCCTCTTATCCAAGAGATGAGTTCAGTGGTGGATGGACTACCTCCTACCTCTATGAGTATGCAACAGATGGAGGCCGGGTATATGAGACCCTGGAAGAAGCAATGATTGCTGCGCTTGCCGATCCAATAGCTGGTGGGGTGACGAAAGAGCAAGAAAATGTGTTCACTGTTCGGAAAGCCAACTGTCTGTCACATTCGGCGTCGGGGGAGATGGCCTGGATCAAGAAAACAGAACTGATAGAGCCGACAGGATCCTTTTTCTGTCCTGCAGGTAATCTTGTACGTTTTCGGGAGGGTAATATACACCCCAGTGTGAAAAAACAAGGTTCACACCCTGGGTCCTACCTGTACCGTATCCTGCCATATTGTACTATATTGTACCAGATCATACCGTATTTATTATTCCACTTCATTGTCAATTTTCTTTTCCATTTGAATTTCCATTATTGGGGGTTCTGGGAAGCATTGTGCTCAAACTGGACACCTAAGGATCCGATGAGACAGCTTTAAGAACGGCTCTTAAGAGTTTGGGCGTGCCGGATGATGAGCTTACAGAGTCCTTCTGCAGATGGCCAGGCATGAATTGCCCAGGATGATTTCCGTAGACTCTTTGAGAGGGACCCAGGGACCCAGTCTACTCCCCTTCAGAGTTGTGTAGATCCCTATACCGTGAACCCATGTGCGTGGTTGTCAAAATTATGATCCCTTGTTGGATTCCTATCATAATACGGCACCTAATATTTAGGGTACCCAAAAAGGGACCATAATCTTGACGTGCGCCCATGTCTGTGAATAGTTACACCTGCATTTCGCGAACCCTATGCCCTGAAGCTCCAGGTGTTGCGTGCTGCTGGGGTGTTGACACACTCGGCAAGGTTGAATTGCGAGTTCGGAGAGTGGAGCTAAAGCCAGGAGAGTTTAGGGTCCCGTGTTGAGGGTGGCATTTTGGGATGCTGATCATTTTGTTGTTCTTGTTCTACGAGTCGACCTATTCGTAAACATCTTTGGGGTCAGAGGAGACTATGGGTTCAGGATTTAGCTTTCAGGGGCGCGGGGTTCAGGGGTTCCACGGCCCCTCTTGTACCCCAAAATGGTGTGCTTGTCAGAATAGGCCCCCCAAAACTCAATAAGAATCAGGAGCTTCTTCCATGGTGCTTGATGGTGTGCTGCATGCATCACTTTGCAATCTGCCACGTCTCGCCCACCTGATCCTGAAAGATTTGCCGATACATGGTGATCTGCACTCGCTCTCGAATTGCACGCAGTTGATTAGCTTGACCCTGGATCAGACAGCCAACATCAAGGGAAACATTGCCAGCCTCAAGGGCATGGTGCGGCTGGAGGTTTGTTGGTTGACACGGATGAGTCAAGTTGTGGGCAGCGTTGAAGCACTCTCTGCGATGGATCGGGTCATGTCTGTGGTTCTCCACGGCTGCTCTGTCAGTGGAGATGTGCAAGCTTTCTCCAACAAGAGCAAGCTCAAGTACTTGAACTTCCCAGCGACCCTGGTGGCAGGTGACTGAGTCCACGATAAGGATCCCTTCTGCCTCTGGGCCATGGTCTTCCTTATAGAAGTTAAGGAAAGTATCGTTGTCGTACCCAAGTGAACATGGACGAAGGTGATGTCTGTGCCTTGAAAGGCTTGCCGAATCTTGATGCTTTCATTGTGGGAGAGTCCAACATCCACGGCAACATTGCTACTTGGCCAATGTTAGGGACCGCTGATATTTTTGGGGTTAGGTGGTAATATAGAAGCCCTAAACCTTCCATTACTCCTCTATAATCCCAATATGCTATAGTATTTTCCTTTTTGTTTTCCATTATCCCTATATAACCCGAATACACCCATCAAAACTCCAGAAAAGAGCACTCGGTTGTTCCCAGCGAGGTAGGGGGGCTAAGGCTTGTATGGCGGATGAGTTTGCCGTGCTTTCGGAGATTGATGCTCCGCGCACGAAACTTTCTGGAAATCTGGGAAGTTTGTCTCGGCTCTCGAACTTCTACCATTTGGACGTCTCGAACACGGACGTCTCGGGGGACCTTTGCGATCTACCACAAGACCTGGTCGGTTTAAAAGCCAAGGGCACAGGTGTGCGAGGCGATGTGAGGTGCCTTCAGAACTGGCGCTGGATCTCCCACATCTCACTTGCTGATACTGCAACTGTAGGCGATGTTGCAGCTGCCTTATCTACAAATAGATGGTATTTGCAAAGTTTGGACATCTCCAGGGTGAAGCAGATAAGGGGCGACTTGATACTCTTGGGAGACGCGAAGAATCTTTCAACGGTACAAATCTCAGGGACTCAAATGTCTCTTCATCTCAACCAAAGTCTTTCCGGCAAGTTCCCAGCTTTGAAAGTGCTACATGCTCGCAACATCATCTGCAGCTTGACAGAGCATCATATCGACTTCAACGAGAATGAGGCAATTTTTAAGTCTTTGCATGAACTGGATTTAGCAGGAAGCTCGCTACAAGGTGATGCTCAGCGCTTCTTCTACAGCATCTTGTGTAGAGCCCCCCTTCAAAGGATCAATGTGGGGAACACAAAGCTGTCAGGCGAAGTTTATTTCGGAGACATCGTTGATATGCGGGATGCGAATGGTGGAGTAGTCAATCATGCCCTTGCTTGGGCCTCGACTTTGTTCAGCCTCGATTTGAGTGGAACGCATGTCAATACGGTGCACTTCAACAGCAGAATTTGCGTCAAGTTTAGATCCTCCTGTTCAACGCTCTACTATGACAAGCCATCTCTGAACGGTTTGGGTCTTCGCAACACCCCCAACTTGTCGACCTTGGACGATTCGCTGCTCTTGGCGACGTCACGGGTTTATGTGAACTTGCAGGGGTCCGGATACCAGATTCCCCGCGACAAAGCGCTGAACATCGGCTTACAAGCCAGCGCTGATGTATTGACTCGCCAAGCGGATTACCAATGCCATGCTGCTCTTGGCAGGCCCTTTTTGTTGCTGGAGCCTGTCACAGCCGCTCCGGAAAGCCTCTGCGAGTGCCTTCCTGGCTTCTATGGGCGTGGCAAAACCTGTCAGAGGTGTAGCGACCAGCAGTACCAGAATGAACCAAACGGGACAAAGTGTAAAGACTGCCCATTTCTGGAGCGGCCCAGATCAGATCGAACTGCTTGTGAGCCGAACTTCTTGGGACATCTTCTCAGCTTCTATGGGATCGTGGCATGGATCTGTGTAACTTGGGCTTTCCAACTTCTCAGGCGTGCAGCGATCGGGGTTCCCATAGAAGACATTAGTATGAGCAGCGATGGAGGTTTGATTGTGACCACACTCTGGCGACATGGCATTTACTGCCAGGGAGCACACTTCAGGATTCTGTCATCTGGGCATCCGGCTTTGCACAAAGCAGAGTTGGAAGCTCATGTCATGACAGGCCATCGCCTGAAACTAATCGGATTTGACTCTGTGGAAAGTTCCATGGGATATTTGCGGCCGAGATGGCCTGATGGTGTTTTTGCACACTCAGTGTTCAAATGTCCAACGGCCATCGTAGCAACTATTCTTCTTGTGGCTGCTGTATGTCTCTGTTCTCCACAGGCCTATGGTGCATCGGCAGTGCTCGTGATTTTTCTGGCCGGCACTTTTTCACTCATGGTCACGATGCTCTTTGAGCACGTCCGACCGGCTCAGAGCCGGTTGGGCTTGCGCACGCGAGCCTTTCAACAGCTCTTGAACCAATCCAACCCTTTCCCAACTGCCTGTGCCCGTGGCCGCGGGCGAGGTGTCTCTTTGGCAAAGCTGGAAAAGCTAGTTGGGGGCTTCCAAGACTTGATTTTGGACCGCAACATGTACTATGTGGTTGCCAACATCGTACTGCCTCTGACACAGCATGCCAAGCTCTCCTACGCTGAGCTTGTGGGGCCCACTGAAGCGGGCTGGTTTGTCAGTCACTACTGGGGTTCCTGGAGTCTACCCAGAAAATGATTTCGGTTGTTTATTCCTGTATCATTGGACCAGAAGGTTTGAAGTAACATGGTTTCTCCAGACTTTGCAAGGGGCCTAAGGTACAGCATTTCAACATTTTGTGCGTTCGCTGCGCTTGCATAGTGACAGCCGCTCGGCTGTAGACATGCAGAGCTACTGGGTATGCTCTTTTTCAAACAACCAGTGGTCCATTGAAGAGGAGGTTTGCGGTGGATGGGAAACAACGTCGTTCTACCTTGCACTCACAGGTGGCGTGAAAGGAACGGTCATGGTTCTGGATGAGCAGGCACTTCCCTTGACCCGTGCCTGGTGCCTCTTTGAACTGCTACAGACATTCATTCTGCAGAAGAACCACACTGACTTCCAGGGACTTGTCATGACTACCAACTCTGGGGTGTTAACTGGGTTGCTGTTAAGAAACTTAGTTTAAGTTACTATCTTGGGGAAACCCTCTTATTTATACTATATATATACCCAATATGGTAACTTAATTTAGGTTCCTCAACCCTAAACCCTAAACCCTAAACCCCAAACCCATTATGATAACTTAATTTAAGTTCCTTAACAGCAACCCAGGTTAAACGAGGGGTCTGCAAATGCCGACACAGCGCTGGTATTGGCAGGGCGCTTGTCCAACTTGCGCCTGGAGAATGCGGAAGCTGAGTTGGCCCATTGGGATATTTTTGGGGGTTTCCCAAGGGTTTAGGGTTTCGGGTCTAGGGTATACTATCCCCCTATAATGGAGAATCAAATGGAAAAGAAAATGGAAAATGAAATGGAAACTGGGATTATATAGGGGATTATAGGGATTTGGGTTTCCCGAAATTAAAGGTACCATTTTGGGGGTCCCCATATTAAGGATTGTAGTATTTTGGGGTCTATATTGGGGGCCCCTTATTTTGGGAAACTACCATATTTTGGGATATTCTGGGTTGCTGTGAAGGAACTTAAACTAAGTTACCATAATGGGTTTGGGGT